AAGCTCACGACTGACGGGTAGAGAAGGGCCTTTGCGACACTGCGGAGAATTTCGTCTCAGGGGTGGAGATGAGAGTGTCTCCGAATCGAGCTTCGTGATGGTGGATGATGCTGGGGGACTTCAGCTCGTCAGTGATGAGGATGACGAGGCGACTGTGGAGGGGCATGCGGTAGAGGAGGAAGGGACAGGGTAGTACTCGGCGAGAAGAACAAGGTGATGGACTTGGCTTTTCCGTGTGAAATTTTCGCATTTTCACTGAGAGAGTGGTATTGATTATTGCACAGAGTTGTATGCTGTTATTAGCGTAAATGATGGAGTTGAAGAGTCTGTAGAGGAAGGGCCTAAGAAGATGAGTAAGAGTAAGCAGAGGAGACTACGTCAGAAAGAGAAGGAGAGGCTTCATGGAGTATCGAGGCGAGTCAAAGAGAAGGAAGACACCAAACTAGGGCAGGAGGGGTCTCAAGAGCCGTCCGATGATAATGTGAGTATTTTGTATCATCATCATTATCATCTCACGTATTGTATGATCCCGCGCACGGGAGTTACGTATTGTAGTCTTGCCAAGTTGCTGGTAGTACCACTGTATATCACTTTAGGAGCCCCTAGTATCGGAGTCCGAGGATGAGATCGCAGCCTCGGGAGATACCATTGAGCGGAAGCAGAGAAGTGGGACAGTTTCGGTATGACAGAGCGTAGGGAACTACTTTCAGGAGCACGCCGGGAGCCGCAGCCTTTCACGTGGTCCGACTGCAAATGGATGCTCTATGTCCTTCCGGTAGTGCACCACTTACTTGTGATCCTATGAGTCGTACGCAGTTGTAGTTGATAACTCTGTTGTTCTCAGTCTGACGGACATAGTAGGAAGTTCTGTTTTAGATAATTGTGTTGTTGGTGATGTTGAAGATGGGAGAAGAGGCATACCAGGAGATGGGAGGATGGTCGCTTGGAGACCAAGAGGAAGACTATTACCAGGTCATAGGCGATAAGGAACTAGGCACAGTAGATTCTCCAACGCCATCAATGAGCTTCGCTCGGATAGTGCATTGCATTCGATCTAAAATAGAGATGTTCCGGCTATTGCAGCAACGGGGAGGGTCAATTAAAAGAACTACGCTGAATGAAAACTCGTGTACTGCTGGCAGGGCCGGGCGAGCGCTTATTGGCTCATCGTAGAGGGTTTTGATGGGCTGTTGAATGGTCGCTGACAGGTGCTCAATGTTGATCCTAAGGCCAAGCACGGAGAGATACGGAATGCGTACAGGAAGTTGGCAATGAAGTGGCATCCTGATAGAAATCCTAACTGTGAAAGCTGCCTTGCACGCTTCCAGTCTGTGGCGAAGGCGTATGAGACTTTGGGAGATCAGAACAAGAGGAAGGTTTATGATACTAATAGAGGTGACCTCAGATGGACGGATTAGAAAGAAGTTTGTTGAACAAATTAAAGAAAGAAAATCATGGGAGAAAAA